CTAATAGAAGGTGCACTGGCACTGGCTGGACACTGGCTGGCAGACAAAATTAAATGTTGGAAAGAAAAAAGCTAGTGTTGTGAGAGTCCAAAGAGAATGCCATTCTCTCTGTGCATTTGGAAAACCGTTAGCTCGTTAGGTAGTTACAATGAGGGATGTCAGAGAGTGAATTGGAGCTGGGGTGGGGAAGGTGGTTTGTCAAGGGGGTTGGATGATGTCCAGATCATAGCTGCTTTTGTGCCTCCTCAGTGTTGGCCCCTGTTCTCAGCATATTTTACAGCAGCTGTAGCAATTGCTTTTCCTTAGCATAACTTTGAACATCCCAAATTGACTTCTCCATTGGCCCCACACATCTGAAGTGTAGAGCACTCTGGTTACAGCTCCTCCATTCCTGAGCGTGCTCACTACCATCCCCTACAAACAGGCCTAGCCAAAGAGTTTGCGGGGGCCAAGGCAGCGTGGCTGACCCACAGGGTCCCATTCTAGGCAGCGAGTGAGCAACTAGGTGGGCAGGGCCGGGACCTGGGCAGTGTGGGGCCCCGAATGCACGGGGCCCAAGGCAACCGCCTTGCTCACCTTGCCCAAAGGCCGGGTCTGCTTACAAACACTGGTCACTACAGGATAGCACAGGAATTTTGCTCACTCTAACTCATCTACAGTACTCTCTGCACTAGGGGACTACCCTGATACCAAATCCAGCTCTTTTTAAGACCCTTTGTGGCCCAGAAACCAAACATTGAAGGAGCCAGATGCCAACCCTTCATGACTTGTGAAACCCAGCGGCTTTGCATCAGTAACTAATTAGAATGCAATGTAGGATTCTGTTGTTGTTCCACAGGAAGGAGTACAATCCAGTGCCCTCTCTTGTTGCTGCATTGGCTCAGCCAGGCTCACAGGACTGTAAATCAGCAACAAACTTATTTTTCCATGAAAGTGAAATGGATTTGACTCACATTCTACAGGGAGCAGGAGTGTGAAGTTGGAAGGGGCCTGTTCGCCAGCATAACTTTTCAGGGCAGAATGCTCAATAGCAGGCAGAAATCTGTTTATTTTGCATATCTCTGGTGCAAGATTGTGCCAGTGTAGACATAGCCTTTCAGTTTCCCTACTATCATTGTCCAGCTAGATTCAATCTTACAGGGTTTTTCACCACTCCTCGGCAGAGTCAGTCACTAGCTAGGCACTTTCCCTAACTCATTTCTCCCTCCCAGCCCATCCTACCGGCTGGTTCCTTCCCAGCCTTTATAGCTTGTGGTTCCTCAGGCCAGCAGGTGTTGCCAATCTTGAAGCAGGCATCAGACTTTTCCACCAGCCCCAATCTGTTCCTCTTGATTGGAGTTGAGGGGAAGGGAGCTAATTAGGTGCTCTTGTACCAGGCACTTCAAAACATACTTCCCTGCTTAGCCAGTGCCAGGCATGATCTTGCTTGGCCTTGACTTCCTCTGCCTGGGGAGTTACTATGGGGAAGCCCTTCCGACCCACCTACAGGAGTCCCTGTGTGATTCTGGCATTCCCCACCCACAAAGGCTATGTTTACACTGGCGGGTTCTTGCTCCAGAACCCACAGAGCGTCCACACTGCCTGCCCACTCTTGCGCAAGAAGATTTACAGTACGGCGTCAGAAAACAGGGCTTCTTGCGCAAGAGCTACACTCTTTTCTAACAAGCGTAAGCTCTCTTGAGCAAGAGCTCTTGCGCAAGAGGGCAGTGTGGACGTAGGGCAGGGGTTTCTTGTGCAAGAAAACCCTATGGCTAAAATGGCCATCAGAGCTTTCTTGCGAGTGTAGACACAGCCAAAAGGTGCATTGGATAGGAGATGGGGCATCCCACAAGTCCAGGTGTTCCCAGGGGTCATCACACCAGTCACAACCCTGAGGCAAACCACACCCAGGCTGCCCAGTGTCTCAGGCTCTGGGCCTTGATCTATTAAGGTTTGGGCTCCCCTTTTTGGAGGCTTCTCTTGGGGCTTCCTTTGGCCTCTCTTCCTCTTGCTCTCTGGCATTAACTCTCCTGGGTGGTCCAGCTCAGGGTGCTCTAGTCCCCTGTCTGTAACTCACATCATGTCTTGACCTCAGCTGTGTTGTCTAGGTCAGGGTGGGGAACCTAAGACCCAAGGGCCGGATGCATCCCTCAGCTTGCCTGGGTCTGGGCCCTGAGGTGCAGGGCTCTCCCTCAGCATTAGAGATCTGGGGATGGTGTTCCAGCCCCACACTGTCCCCCCATGGGACTGGAGCACACAAAATCTACTAGCCTGGGCCCATCAAGGCTCTGGTGTGGGAGGGGTATGTGGGGAGTGTCTTTCTCCCCAGTCAGAGGCTGTCTCAGTGAAGGGGTTTGAGGTTTTGTGGTTTGTTTGTTTTATTTTTGCTTCTCACTTGTGTGCGGCCCCTGACTGATTTTTCTGTGGATTAGTCCCCCTGACCTTAAAATAGGTTCCCCATCCCTGGTCTAGGGTTTCTGTCTTCTTCCTCTGAGGGTCATGGGGGCCCCCCTCTTTCCCAGGGTCCACCACAGTTGGGGCATCATTCCCCCTTTGGGTTCCTCTCACTCCTTTTCTCTTTTGGTCTCCTACTCATGCTGTCTTTCCAGTTAGGGGCAGGGTCCCAATCCATCCTCAGGACCACAGGGCAAGACAACATTTCTACTACTCCCACCCATTTCCAGACAAATATTCCCTGTATCTCCACAGGCACCCGGGCCATGGGACAATACTCCTTACCCCCATGGATGCATTTAAAGAGCACCCTGTCTCCAGGGATAAGCCAATGTGGCTTTACCAAGTGCCAAGCTGTATGAGAGAGTCGGCTGAGGCCATATCCTCCAATCCCCTCTGGAGCTTTCTCCCCACCTGCACAGGAATGGTAGTTAACCTACATCCCCAAGCCTTAGTCCAATCACAGAACCCAGTGACACCACAGTCCATCACCAGACTATCCCTCCGTCTTGGTCTCACAGGGTCCAATGCCTCCACATATTCCTCTGTCAATTTGACAGCAACTTCTTGTATTCCTATTTGGTGTCTCCACAGCCAGACCCACTTGTGTTTAAAAAGTAAAATTTTAAGACTTCTTCTCAAGTCACTAAAATTAGGAAGATTTTGCTCAATGGAAATTGACTTCCATTGTGCAGGAGGCCCCGCACAAACTGTTCCAGGATCACTTGGTCCATGATCTGCCCCACTGTTTGGGCATAGGCCTGGGACTGCATGCCACCTGTCCACCAAGCTGACTGAAATATTTTCTGGTACTTTTCAGATAAAAGCCCCAGACAATCCAAGATGGCTGCCTTTACTAGGTGATAGTCCCTGGCCAAGGCATCCGTCAGAGTCATAGAGGCTGCTTGCTCTTCCCCATCAACATATGGGGTGCAGGCTCCAGGTTGTCCTGTCTCACCCAACATTCGGGACCACCCATTCAAAGGTGACCAGAAAGGCATCAAGGTCATCAGAAGGAGCCTTTTTAGAGAGGCTGAACCCCAGAGGGTGGGTGCTGTTTCCCTCTGGTGGACTCACCAGTTTCTGGAGGGGGAAGAAGCAGGGGCTAATTAGGTGTTTTTTCACCAGCACCCTGCCCTAGACTGATATGCTCCCATGTACAGAGGGTTAGTAAGAGGCCAACAGATCACTTTCTATTTACTGTATTAGAACAGTAATAGCTAGTGGGCCTCAACGAAAATTGGGCCCCCACTGTACAAACACATCATGAGAGACAGTCCCTGCCCCAAAGAGCTTACAACTTAAATAGACAAGCCAGACAAAGGGGAGAGGGGGTGACAAGGGGACAGCAAGGCAAAATTACTTGCCCATGGCCATACAGCAGTTGGACATAGAAGCTAAATCTCCATCAGTTGCTTAATCTATTGGACTGCATCAGTTCTCATTCTGAGGACTTAAGCAGTGAATATTCCTCATTCCAGCCCTTTGAATGATGGGTTATGGGAATAAATGAGACAGAGAGGATTTAGCTTATGTTTCTTATGGCCTATCTGTACTCTACCTCACTGGCAGAATGAAGGTCGAAGCCAAGAAAAGTTTTATCTTTCGCACAAATACAGATGTGACATTTTTTCCAGCTTTGCTTGGGACACTCATTCAAAAGCCTAGGAAGTAAGTGTACATTAAATCATTCCTTCCGTACAGGCAGACACACGGAGGGAAATTCCAGTCTGTTTCCACTCTTTTGTTTTCAGGGCATTTTTGGAATTTCCTTCAGGAAGTGAGAGGTTCTGACCTAAAGCCTTCCTCGGTTAGTAGGCTCCAGTTTCCCACAGTAAACCTTGCACAGAAATGACGTACTGTATAAGAAGGTGAGGTTTATCTTTACACCCCAACTGTATCCTGTATAAGCTCAATGAAACTTTTAAAGTATTACCTCAGGAGAATGGCAGCAATAGGGGAAACAAAAGAGTTGAATCTTGAAATACAGTAGTTACTCAAAAACATTGGCCAGATCCTCTGCTGAAGAAATCAGTAGAGACATTGATTTCCACCACGTGAGGTTCTGACACTATATTTTAAATATAAACGTTCTTGATGTGTGTAATAAGCTCAGTACAAAATTCATAACTTGTTTAACATTTCCCCCTGTGTCAATATAAAAATAAATCATAATATGGGATTGGTTAATATGTATGTTAATTTATAATCATGTTCTCCTAAATTACACGGTATTTTGTTCTGAATAGTAATTGCAGTGGTGTTTCCACCTCTCCATTATTTGCCATAGTGAAGTTTCTTGCTCCAGAGCATAGATATATCCAGGTTTTTTACTGGCACCCATCATTTTACCTTTGGAGCAGCTTAACACTCATGATCTTGTATCCTCATAAATAAAGGTATCATTATGGTTCTAAGTCCTTAATTGAATAGAAATATCATGCAGAATCAGCTTGATCCAATGCCTCTTGAAATCAATGTGACTCTTTCCATTGACTTCTCTGATCAATAAATCATGCTCCAGATCTTGATGATAGTACAAAACAAACAAAAAAGTGATAGCAGGATCTTAAAAAAATCAGTTTATTAATGTTTAGAAGTCAATAAAGCTATGTGCAAATTGAACAATAAAAGTCAGAAACATTTTAAATACTATTTTTTAAAAACAAAGAGAAAATCAGTTTAATTGCACTGGAAATCACACTACAAGGGCAACATTTTTACAGAAAAACATTTCTATGTTTCACCAATAACTGTACATTAAGCAATTGTTCAGCTACCCTGATACATTTTTTATTATAGTAATGTTCTAGGTGTTGGAAGACTTCTGCATCTCGTTAATTATATACATTGTACACATTCAACCCCATTAACACAGATTAGAAAAATACCATAATAGAAACATTCAATTTAAATGAAAGGTATTTTTTATGTGAATTGATAAAATACAGACATCTTTGCTGAAATTGTGAACATTCTAAAACATAGAAAACAAAATAAGTTTTCCTGTATTTTGTTATGGAAGTGCATTTTTATGTCATATCACCAGTCATTTCACTTGGACTTGCGAAGGTCCTTTTTTATTTCTCTGAATTTCATGGTATTTTATATAGATTTTCTAATCAGTGGAAACACTGTGAGCCAAAACCTGAAGGTATTTTTCAGTTTTCACTTTGTCCTTACTTAGGCAAAACTCCCATTGATGCCAGTAATACTGGATACCAGCTTGTCAAGTATCACATGTTAATGAGAAAATGAACTGTAGGTTTATCCTGCAACTTTTAGGGTCATATAATTTATTTCATACTAAATGTAACCAATCAATAGATCTATGAGGCCAAATGCTATTCTGAGTTCCTCCCACGCAACCCTGTTGACTTCTTTGGGGTTATATGAGTGCAATTGAATGCAGAGTCTGGCTCATGATCTGAAAAGTAATATGAAATTTCAGCACAACTTCACAGAATTGATCTTGCAAAAGAAAAGCTTTGGACTCTGCGGATGAAATCTTATTACATCTAGAAGCTCAGGAAAGTGATGCCAACCTATGGTTATCCGTTATCTAGATTACATTGGCTTAGTCTCTTTCCTGCTGTGTACCAAATGGCAAACACTTGTGACTCAGGATAGCAGAGTCATCCCTCAACTTGGTACAGAAAGATCGTTTGTGTCAGGGCTTTTTCTGCAAGTAAAGAAATAATAACTTCACATTCTTTTCACATACAAAAAAAAAATCACTTTCCCACCTTCCTCCTCCTCCTCTTTCATGCCTGCACGCACTCGCAAACACATGGCACCATTCCACCTAAGCATCAGTCTTTCCGAGTTAGGAATACTCCTGGCAATCCTAAGTCTGCCTCAGTGCAAAGACAAAACATGCTCCAGAAGGAAATAGTTTCAAGCCAGAACAGTCTGTGCCACTTCCTGTACTCCACCCTTTGCAAGTGCCCTGCTTGCGTCTTCAGAACTAAAGCTACCTTGCTCACTTAGGCCACCTTTTTGGAGTTGATACAGTGAGCAGGTGGCTTCTTGTCTGTAGGGTTTCAAAGGGGAGGCTTTGAAACGTGCCCCCAATGGATACCTCTAAGAAGATGAGGTGACGTTGCCTGAAGACATGATTGTCTCTGGGCAGTCACCCTCATCCTTTTGGGGGTGGGAGGAATTGTCGGATTTGCTTCGGCTAAACTCCATCCCTCCAATAATTGGCCTCTTGAATTTGGCCCCAGAATCTGCAGAGGGGCATTTGCAGCAGCACAGGATCTTGATGAAGGCCCTACGCATCTCTTTGTTGGTCAAGGTATAGATGATAGGGTTCGTGGCTGAATTGAGCACAGCCAGTACTAAGAAATACTCTGCTTTGAAGAGGATTGAACAGGCCTTCACTTTGCACCCCACGTCCAGCAAGAGCAGGATGAACAAGGGACTCCAGCAGGCAATAAAGGCACTCAGGACAATGATCACTGTTTTGAGCAAGGCTAGTGATTTTTCTGAGCTCTTCGTGGCTTTGGAAAAGTTTTTACGAAACGTCAGCCTGCGGCTCCTAGTCCTGACCATGGAATAGATCCTGCAGTAGAGGACGACAATGGATAATAAAAGCCCAGTGAAAACGGTGGTGCAAAAGAGAATATAGTGCTTATGGTAGAGGGGCAGCACAGTGGAGCAACTGTGCAGCTGGTCGAGACAGTTCCAGCCCATAATAGGGAGCCCCCCTAGTATCATAGAGATGACCCAGCAGGCGCTGATCAGGAGGAAGGAGCGGAAGCTGTTGCTCCCATTGTGGAGTTTCATCTTTAGCATGGTGATATACCTCTCAATGGCAATGGCCAGCAGGCTGAACACAGAGGCTGACAGAGCCACAAACATGCTGCCTTCCCTGACAAACCACTGGGCAGGGGTGAGGCTATACGTTTTATGTCCAGATAACAAAAGGTTGGCAGTATAAGCCACCCCAGCCAGCAAGTCTGAGAGAGCCAAATTCCCAATGAAATAGTACATGGGTCGGTGAAACTTCTTGGTTTTCCAGATGGTCAGCAGGACAAAAATGTTCTCTAGGATGATGAAGCAGCAAATGATGATAAAAACCACTGATGTCACTTTTATTCCACTGTCCGCCTTTTCATTTAGCTTCCCCGTGTAGTTGTAATGTTTCTTAATGATTTCAGAGTTGACATAATCGCTGACAGTGTCATTTAAGATCTTCTTCTGGCGGCTGCTGGTGGAGCCCATGGTTCCCAGCTAAGCGACACTTCTCCAGCCACCCACCAGAGGGTGAAGTCAAGTAGAAACCTCACCAGCCACCCTTGAGGCAGTATCTTTGAGGTGGAGGCGCCAGTGTTTGGTACTCCCAGGAGTAGCCTCAGACACCACAGCCCTGAAGCAGAGGCATAAACAAAGCAAAGAGTCAGAGGAAAGTGTGCAAACAAGGTGGCAAAATGAAATCAGTGTAAAATAATCTGTTCATTTCACTACGTCAGGCTTACATATGAGTTCATAAATGAATCAGTCAGGACCATTCATCCTTCTCCACCCCACCAAGTAAAAAATGGCTCAGCAAATGGAACAGATAAAGCTGATCTGATAAACTTTATTTTCTTTATGCAGATTTGCACTAATAATTAGACAGCATTAGGGTTTGCACTGTTCGGATCTCACCAGCTCTCAGGCTAAGCCAGTGGAAAAAACAAGGTCCATCTGTTTCTCTCAATTCCTCAAACTTTTGATATAGGTAATACATTTTAAAAGTTCAAACTTCAGAAAGAGAAGACCTTGATTTGTTTTAAATGGAACTGAAAATTCACAAAATAAGCCTGGCATGAAAATCACTTGACTCAAACGACCTCACTTGTTTTTCCGCTGTTAAAATTCAAACATTGTTGAGAAAGAGAGGCAGTTCTGCAATTGATTGATGCCATCTTAAGAATAGATAAGGAGGTGTGTGTGTGAGAGAGAAAAGGGTGTGTGTGCGTGTGTGAGAGAGAGAGAGATGTGTGTGTGTGAGAGAGAGAAGGGTGTGTGCGTGTGTGTGTGTGTGTGTGTGTGTGTGTGTGTGTGAGAGAGAGAGAGAGAGAGAGAGAGAGAGAGAGAGAGCAGGAAAGCTGCTCCAATCACTTCAATTTGACAAAATCATCCTTTACAAAAGTTGTTGCCAGCATAAAACTCAGGAAAGCAAATCAAATTAGAAAACTCCCTGGAATAAGGGAATGGGCAACTGTCTGTTTGAGTATAAACACCAAAGTGTAAGTTCATCAGGCCATATCAGGGTGGGAGGAAAATAAAATCAAATTGGCTGTGCTAAAAACTCAAGGAAAGCAGAAAAGATTATGGAAATGGAGAAGCGGCCAGTGGAGTCCCAGGTGCCTACTACGCTGTCCAAGACAGATCTAGTGGATGCTCAGACCGGTACTTCTCCTTTCAATTCTTGATCTCACTACCACAGTTGGGGCGTTTTACTGCGAAGGGTTCTTTGCCTACTGGCCAAACCCAGCTGAGGAGTTGACAGCTGCTGCGGACACGAGCTAGTCTTCCCCCCTCCGAAGGAGAACCACAGAGCACAGCCTGGGGCTGGACGCGCTCCTTGGAGGCACTTCCACAAGAACCAGAAGTAACAAACCAGCACCTACCCCAGGGGAAAGCGAGGGGAGCCGGAGCTGCCCACGCAGAGCGCTCTGGCGGCAGGAGCGCATCCTTTAGGCTGGGAAGGCTCAGCCCGATGGCTGATTTCTAAGTGTGTGGGTGGGGGGTGCACCCCAAAGCGGGGTCCCTAGAACCCAGGGCTTACCTTGCTCAGGCAGGAGGATTCGCTCTCTGCGGCCGCTGCTTTGCCTGCGCTCGGCATCGCGGCTGCCCCGGAGCGCGCAGAGCTCGCATAACAAAGCCAAGTTTCCTTTTACTAATGGTCCCCACCCCGCGGGTTTTCTGCGAAGGAGACTTGTTAACTCTTTGGTGACCGCAGCCTGCCTGCCCCGCCTCTGCCCCGCCGGGCTGCTTGCCACCCAGCCCCGGGAGAGGGCTGAGTCCTAGGTGGGCTGCGGGACCCGAACTGAAGCCGTTCAACCAGAGAAGCGCCAGGACCCCTGAGTTTTGCCAGGCTCAGCTGCCCCCTCCTACCCTCTCTCCTTGCCTTGCGCCTGAGGCAGCGCTCGGCTGCCAGCAGGGAAGGGCTAAATCCCACCTCCCTCCTGCTGCAGTTGTGGCTGTAGTTGTTGAACACAAAACGCTGGTGGGAGCCCTCGCGGGGGAGTCACTCCGGCGCTGACTTGGTGCAAACCAGGCTAGCCTCTTCCTTTGCCTGGTGCCCTCAGATTTCGGAAAGTCAGCGGCTGGGGAGCCCCGAGATTTCGGCCAGAGGAGGTGGAGGGAGACCCCGCACTAAATGACTTCATCCCAAAGGACTTAACCCTGGAGTGCCCAAAAGACAGTTCGCCCACCTTCTGGGGACCCCCTGCGTCAGACACTGGGCGAAGCCACCACCTCTGGGATCCGTGCTCCAAGGGGGGCACCAGTTCCCCACAGGGGGAAAGGCTGTTTGCCTCACGTTGGCTTGGCACGTTTGAAATACCTGTCCAGGTACCCACCTTGCTAAGCAAACTGGATGGAGCTAACCCAACCTGCTGCCAGGGAGGTAGGGCAGGAGTGTGGTGTGGTGGCCCAGCACCTCAGCTACCCTGGGAAAACAGCAGTGTGGCCAGGGGAAACCCCTTCTTTAGCCCCTGCAGGCAAAGGATGGCACCATTGGTCTTTTGCCCTTTCACTGGTGCGTAAGGAATGTCACAGAAGCAGTTAGGCTCCCCCAACCCACCATCCACTCTTCTGCCACTAACAGTAGGATAATGATGGCTGAAGGGGGACTCCCCTCTTCCACCTGCAGGTACTGGCAGGCCCCTACAGCTCCAGGTGTCAAGGCCAAGACTCACCTGGCTCCTGAAAGCAATTGGCCTCTTTGATCCTGTACAATGACAGGACACTGACCCTAGGGGTCACAGGTTTGGGATTTAATCCATTTGGGATTCTTGCAAATTCAGCCTTGACTCTCATCTTCTCCCATTAATTTCAAGGATCTACTTTTCCTGTGGAAGCCAAGAAGAGAGGAGCCTGGGTTTCAAACTAGGATTTGTCACAAATGAAAAGGAAACACCAGCATCTCTTCTGTTCTTTCACCACAAGAGATGGTGAGGGGAGGAAGGGAGGATGGGAATTTAAGAGGTAAAGAAATCAGTATAACAATGATAGAGGCCATACCAAAATATTGTGACAGTGTGCCCTATGAACGTCAGGGTGTGTGCTTCTGTTTCAGCTGTGGATTTTTAAAATAACACTTCCTGCAGGCTAGTGGCATGACCACGTTCTGGGTAGCTAACAGAACTTGAGATCTGACACAGACTCCCTGTGTAGCCATAAGCAGGGCACCTAAATTCATTGTGAATCAGATTTCCCATCTCTCTCTATATATAAACAATACCTTTTAAACTTCTTTCATGGGGTGTGCGTGGTTGGGGGGAGGGGTCAGGGGGGTGCAGCACATCCTGAGGAAGTTGTGAAGCATTTTCAGTTTGCAAAATACTAAATATTTTAAATGTATTATTAGTACTAAAAAGCAGTGACTGGAGTTGAGATAGTTAGCTGATACTACATGGAGAGAAGAGTGAATGTGTGTGTGAGGGAGAGAAAGCGTAGGTAGGGTTTACTCACTCTTTTAAACTTCTAAAAGAAATACTATTCTTAGCATCGGGAATATTAACCCTTACTTGGCTTGTCACTGTAGCGCACTCCCTCCCTTGCACTGTTCTCTTTACTCTCACTCCAGATCTAAATATAAAAGAAATACAATACACAATAAGATTTTAATAAATTTGTTATTTTATTTCATAATTTTGCAATTCAATTGGCATTAGCATGGCCTCACAGACCAGAGCATCTGAAGCTTATCTACTCACAGTCTTTTTTTTTCCTCCACTTCAATTTTTTTTCCTTCTCCCCCCTCCCTCCTTCCCTTATTTATTCTTGGATCTGGACTTCCAATACTCTGATCATCTGAAGAAGTGGCTCGTTCCCACAAAAGCTCATGATACCATCTATATGTTGTTAGTCTTTAAGGTACTACTAGACTATTAGTTGTTTAAGTTTTTCCTGTTACAGACTAATTTGGCTACCCTATGAAACTTTTATTTATATTGATAGTCTTATTTCAATTGCTCCACACCTCTTTCTGAATGACTCAGATAAAATTGTACTTTTTGTGTTTTTTAGACTGGAGGAAAATACAGCCGTTAAATTGCAACGGTCAGAGAAGGCATGCAAAAAATAAATCATGTTTGAGGTTGACATATGCATCCCCTTTTAACTGCCTGACATGCACAAGTTGCATATTTTACGGCGACCCCTTATTTGGCTTATTTATGAAGACAAGTGGAAGTGAGCTAATAGGTATCTTTAAATGTATGCCCGTTCAGGAAATCCATTCTCACATAACTGTGCTTTGAGGTAGAGGTACATGAAAGTACACGTGGAGGACTGGATGACTCAGGATATCTTTGTAGTGAAAGACACAGACTTTCATTTTAGGTATCTGGTTAAAATCCAGCTTAATATGGTCCTGACTAAATGCTGCCTTCATCTGATTGACAAATCAGTGGCCTGTGTAAAATGGCTTGGTAATCTCAGTCCAGTTCCCAGGCATCATGTGCGCACATCACAAAATCCAGCAATACTGGTTAACCATTCCTACTTGACATGTTGGTGGCAGCTCTACAAACAACAAATGGTACGTGCAAGGGGAATTACACCCTCACCCTTTCATGCCCATTCCCATTCTTCCTAGAACAGGCATGAGTCATGGTAGCTCTGGGTATGTCTACACTACAGCGCTAATTCGAACTAACGCATCCAGACTAAAAAATTAGTTCGAATTAGCGTTTTCCTAATTCGAACTAGCATGTCCACACAGAGTGGACCCTGAACCAGGGTTAAGGATGGCCGGAAGCAGTGCCAGCAGGGCATCAGATGAGGAGTTAGAGCGTGGAGATGCTGTCTCAGGCTAGCCGAGGGCTGTGCTTAAAGGGACCCGAACCCCACCCCGGACAGACAATTCTCAGGGGTGCCCCGCTTGCAAAGCAGTCCTGGCTTGGCTTGCCTGGAGTACCCACACTGGGCACATCACAGCACTCGGCCATCAGACCGGCTGCACTTGCTGCAGGCTGCCATCTGGGGAGAGGGGTTAATTGGGGGGCTGCAGGAGAGCTTCCACCCCCAGAAGCCCGCAGAGCCAGCCCAGTCCTCCCCATCAGGGGCTCGTACCCCATTCCTCCCTCACCTCCTTCCACTTACCCCTCCCTAGCCTCGCTTCCTGATGTACAAAATAAAGGACAATTGTGTTCAAAAATAGAATCTCTCTTTATTGAACAAAACTGGGGGAGACTGGGAAAAGGAGGTGGGAGAGGGGAAGAGAGAGGGGTGAGAGAGGGGAAGGCAACTACAATGATGAGGGGTTTGGAACAGGTCCCATATGAAGAGAGGCTAAACAGACTGGGACTTTTCAGCTTAGAAAAGAGGAGATGGAGGGGGGATATGATAGAGGTCTATAAAAGCACGAGTGGGGTGGAGAGGGTGCATACAAAAAAGTTCTTCATTAGTTCCCATAAAGAAAGACTAGAGGACACCAAAGGAAAGGAATGGGTAGCAGGCTTCAAACTAGTAACAGAAAGTTGTTCTTCACAAAGCAAAGAGTCAACCTGTGGAACTCCTTGCTGCAGGAGGCTGTGAAGGCTAGAACTAGAACAGAGTTTAAAGAGAAGTTAGATAAAGTCATGGAGGTTGGGTCCATGGAGTGGTATTAGCCAGGGGGTAGGAGTGGTGTCCCTGCCCAAAGTTTGTGGAAGGCTGGAGAGGGATGGCACGAGACAAATGGCTTGGTCACTGTCTTCGGTCCATCCCCTCCAGGGTCCCTAGGGTTGGCCGCT